TAGAGTGACTGATTTAATGAATTTTGAATCTTGATTGATTCAGTGAATCTTGAATCTTTTAGAGATATATGAATATACTATTAATTTGATGCATATGAGCAATTGAATAGATAGAATATATCATATCTGATTCTCTTCTAATAAGATAAGTAAATACTCTGCTATATATACATACTATAATCACTTTATATGATAAAAGTGATCATATAGAATAGAAAATATAGAAAAAATTAAGATCTCTAAGTGAATTAAAAAAAGATAAATAAAGAGTAAATATTAATATAGAAAGAAGCAGAATAATAAAAGTGAAACATTAGAAATGAAATATCACATAAATAGTTAAATATTTTTTTCTAAAATAAATTAAAAATAAATAATTTTTTTAAAATTTTATTTTAATTATTTTTTAACTATATTAATATTTTTATTAATAAATATTTATTTATTTATATTTATTTATTAAATTAGATATATATAATAATAGTTTTTATATAGTATATAATTAAATTTTATATTATTTTAAAATATAACTATATAATTATATATTTTAAATTATTTATATATTTTATATTTTTACAATAATTAAATCATAGTATAATTATATATAAATTATAATTTTTAATTATATATATTTTAAATTAATAAATAATAATAAATTAATCAATTATATATATATAACTTTTGTTACGGCGCAGTTGCGGATAATATGAATTAAGCTTGATCCGCTCTGACCTTCAACCATATTTGGTTGCTTAGGTTGATTCTGCTCCAATCCTCAACCACCAATTTATATTCAGCTGCTTGTTCATTCCCACATTCTATTTCTCAGTTTAGTATTCTCATCGCAGCTGCCTAGTTAGATAGATGAATTGAAGCTTTTGTCTTTTTATCATCATGACTCTAGCTGAGTCATGGCATAATACTAAACTCTTCTTTCTCATAAGCCCTGGGTGTGACGGCGTAGAACGGGCTCCGTCCAGACCACTCAACAGTGTAAGGCCACTGGGCTGGAAAGGGTAATTGCAACTGCCTAGCCACGGCATAACAACTACCCCACGATTACCCCACAGAAACTGCCTAGCAACCAACCCGCAAATACTCTGTATATAAACAGAGCCTTCCCCGGACCCGTCTTTTAGGAACCATCTTAGTCTATCGTTGAAGTAGCTTACCTAGTTGGCAATCAAACACCTGTTTACCTGCGCCTAGATTGAAGCCGTGACACTGGGGATTGAGTAGGCAGGCCTTACATCCATGTCCATGTCCATGTCCATGTCCACGTCGAGGTCTACGTCTACGCCTGTATCTGATTGAGCTTCTCAGTGGTTGTGACTGTGCTGAGTGCTCAAAACCTTAGTTAATTTTTTGTCCTTCTTTATTGTTCTTTACTTATTCTTATCTTCACCATGGAAGCTTCTCTTGCTGCTCTTCATCAGGAATTTGAGAGTGCTATTCAGGAGCTCTGCAATCAAAATCAACAGTTGCAGGCTGAATGCCAGTCCTTGCCGGCAGCTCTAAACAGCTCCCAATCTCAATCCCAATCCTGTCTGAAACCCAGACCTTGAAAAGTTCACTGGCCAAACCCTGAAATTTGACATTTGACTCCTCAATTAAAGTCAAACTATATGTTGATCAAGCTGCTCTTGGAGATTTAATCACTCAGTTCTACTATGTTTACTTGGATCTAGATTTAAGTATACAAGCAATGATTCTTCCCCATTGTAGCTCAAGCTGAAGAAGCAAGTAATTAGAACTACAATTCAATCCTCAATCAGCTTTTTTATGTATATGACAATTCAAATAAGATAATTGAGGCAGAAGATAAACTACACTATTTAGAACAGAGCTTAAGTGAACCTCTAGCAGTCTATATTGCTAAGTTTGAAAATATTTTCTATGAGGCCAAAGTCCAGGAGTGGTCAGATTCTTTAAAGATCTCTTAATTCCACCAAAGCCTCAGTATATCAATTCACAATCATCTAGCCTAGCAGTCAAATCTACCTCAGATCTATAAGGAATTTCTGCATATTGTCCAGCAGTTAGCTTTTAATAATTTCTTCTATTATCTTTACCCCATACTTCTTAGCAGTTTGATTTCTCTACTTGCCATGATTGCTCTGAATCTATGAATCTAAACTAGATTAATATTTTTAACTTTTCACATGATTTTTCTTTATATACCTTATCAATTTCATCTTCTCAATGGGAGAAATATTATCAAGAAGGCTATTGTGTACATTGTAACTCTAATAATCATTGAGTTGAAAATTGTTATTTTCATCTATATTCTTTTAAACTCTATTATCATCATCAAACTGTCAAATAAATCCCAGTCTCTAATCAAGAATCTGATGATAACTCTAATATTAGTGAGATATAAAAGAAAAATTAAATGAATATAATGAATAATAGCTAAGGTAATTAATTTACTGATAAGCTTGATGAATTTTATTTGCTCTTTTTTTATATTTGATATAGCTGCTTGAGAGCAAGCACTTTTAAAATTGAGGGGTAATGTTACAATGCAGTTACTGATAATATAGATTAAAATTTGATTTACTTCAACTCTAATCATATTCAGTTGCTTAAATTGATCCACTCAATTATATATTCAGCTGCTCATTCATTTTATATTTTAATTTTCAATTTAGTATTCTCATTGCAACTGTCTAACTAAATAGATAAATTGAAACTTTTATCTTTTTATCATTATAACTCTAGTTAAGCTATGATAACTTTTATTAAAATTTATTATAAAATATTTTTTATAATTATATTCTATAAAAATAAAAAATATTAATATTAAAAAATATTTTAATTAATTTATAATTCTATTAATTTAATTATTTTTAATTACTTTAAACTTTTAATTATTATATATTATTATAAATATATAATAAAAAATAATTATATTTAAAATGAATTTAATAAAATAATATTAAAAATATATTTAATTAACTTATATAATATTTTTATAAATTTTTAATATTTATTAAATAATTAATATCAAATATATTTACTATAAATATAAAAAAGTAAAAATTTAAAAAATTAATATATGCAATTAAATTTAATAAAAGTTTAACTTGATAAAAATTTTAAAACCTTAATCTTTTATTTTTTCAATTTAATTTATTATTTATTATTTATCTTGTAGATTTTTATTATAATGCAGCTGTTAATAATATAAATCAAAATTAATTCACTCTAATTCTTAATTATTTCTTTATATTTAACTACTTATTTATTTCACATTTTAATTCTCAATTTATTATTCTTATCACAGCTGCTTAATTAGATAGATAAATTAAAACTTTGTCTTATTATTATATTAACTCTAGACTGAGTCATGATAGTCTTTATTATTTAAATTTATATTATTTTTATAAATTCTTCTTATATATATTAATTATAATTCTTAAAAATATATAAAAATAAGCTGCTTTAAACATTTTATAATTTTAATTAATTTAGTTAAATATTATTAAATATGAATAATATTGATTATATTTTAATTAATTAATATAGATTTAATTTCAATATTCAATTCAATTAATTATTCAACTTATCTAAAATTATCTATTGAACATAACTAACTAGTTAGTTAAGCATAATTGTTTTAGTTACATAAAAGCATAATCTTTCATTTATAAATATAACAAACTTAAAATTATCAATGAAGTTAAAATTTAAAAGTAAAAATCTTTTTGCAGTTGAATCAAAATGCGAAGGTAATAATAAAGATAATGAACTTATGTTAAATATAATAATTAAGCTTTTACCCTTGAGTAATGAACTTAAATAAAACTTAAAGCAAGGTCAAAATTATTCGAACATTAAAAAAAAAAAAAAAAAAAAAAAAAGTTAAAAGAACCCGAATTAATACTTAAGAAAAGTATGAGAAAATAGAGATATCTGAGGGAAACATAATTGGCAGCTTGTTTTCTTATTGTACGGGAAATAAAAGACATGTTACCAAGGTGAGTGGATCGAGAATGCCAGGTGACGTTGCAACTCTGGGTGGTTAATCGAAGCTTGACAAGAGAATAACCAGGGGTCTATATGTCATCAAGGTCGTCTTAAACACTCTCTAGGGAGTGCCTGGAATAAAACACACCATTACAATTCGACCCAGTGTAGGTAGCCAGATAAGTATCCGGTACTCAACCTTGGTGGCTCAGAACAATTTACGTTTTTCGTAGATTCCAGGAAACATCTTCTCGGAGCTCCATTCGTTCACCTTTGGGTTAAGCGTCTACTGCGATCCATACTTTGGTGATGATGAAGCTGTGGATATCTATATTATAGGAACTCTAGGTGAGGGGAGAAATCATCGTTGAAGGATTGGGAAGGTTGCGTTGTCCAACTCATGAAAAGTCATGCTGCTTTGGTGACGTTGCTTTCTGCATTATGATACAATGAAGAACAATTTAATACTATTTTACCCAACTTTATCCAAATCGGCCCAAAGAAAAAAAAAATCGCCCAGATCAAGTGAACAAGCCGCCTAACCCTGTAGTTAAACTCGCCCAGTGTTCCGTCAGTCCCCATCACAGAGCCCTGGATTTAGTGGCCCAACACTGTAGTTAACCCACCCTGGGTTCCATCGGTCCCATCACAGATCCCTGGATCTGCATACCCCCTGGAGGAATTGGCCATGAATAAACCACTCACTGGCAGGTTCGTAGTTGGGTGAACCACCAAAGACCCGGTCATCCTCCTTCAATACAGACAAATCTCATTCTTGCGTTGTGATGAGGTATGAGAAGTTTTCTATTTACCGCCGTTGCTGATATAAGTCAGAATGGTGTAAATCGAAATCATTAATGGAGGGGATGTCGAGAGTTATAGCGCAAATGTAAACAACAACGTAAGTTGACACAACTGCCTCATTTCCCAAAACACAAAGTCCACCGCGTTAACCAGCCAAATATCCTCCTACAAATAACATTCTCCCATTCTGTATCAATGACCGCCTCTGATACCACCTAAATCTTCATCTAGTTTTTCACAGCCCTGCTTTGTCTCTGTTCCGCCAGGACCTCTTCACTCACACTAACCAAGATATCAAATGCACGTCGCATATATTTCTCCTCTGACATTGTATTTCCATTTACTACCCGGATGACCGGGCGCTCGTGGATTACCGTACATGTCAGGAATATTTCTCCTCGGGCATTGATAGTTTCGCAAACTTTCCGAGTAATAGCTCCTGAAGAGAATGCTGGTTTGGTCGTGCCATTGGTCAAGGTATTGCGAGCGACACCGTTTTGCACGGGGACACTGTTTGGATCAACTTCATCCAATCCCTTAATTCTGACAACCGTCAATCCAAAGGCCGGCTTTGTAAAGACCTCAAAAATATCATCGCGGCTTCTAACGAGATCAACAAAGACGCGGCCAATGTTTACCCCCTTACGGATATGTGCTTTCATGCCAGAAAGCCCGTACGAACGCATGACAAACCACACTTTGAGTGCGCGGAAGCGTCTCCCAAGTGAAAATTGCCAATGGCGAAAGTCAGTCACTGGGGAAGTAAGCGTGCTTGGATTTCGCAAGTAGGCGGGCGCAATGTCCAGAGAGTTGGTGAGGTCGCTTGTATTGCGAAGGAAGAGGCAACTATAGTCGTAGATAGGGTCGGATTAGCTTGCGAAAATTAAAGGAAATCCAAAGGGCAAAGCCCACCTAGTGTCAAAATTTACTAGAAGCCACTTTGCCATATCCATATCAAAACTATCGACGCCTTCTGCGAACTCCTTCGCAATGTACTGATACTCCTCCGCCACAAGCGCGGACCCAGCATATGCGGCATCAATATGCACCCAAATGTTCTGCCATGATTCCTTCTCCTTTAGCACAGCTTTGATCTCCGCAAGCCGGTCTATGGCACAGGAATTGGTTGTGCCCATTGTAGCTGTTAAATAGAAAGGTTCAAGCCCGTCTCTCGCACATTGTTCCAGAACCTTGCGCAACGCATCCCCGGTCAATTCCAGGTTGTCTTCTAGTCGCGTCGGGATGGCCCGGTATCGAACACCTGCAATCCGGGCCCCCTTAGCTGTACAGCTGTGTCCCTGATCACTGGCCAGTGCGACAAGGCGTGGGCGTAGTTCCATAATGCGATCTTCCCACTCTGGCGTGTCTTCAACCAGCCCCTCCGCTGCAGCTTTAGCCCGGACATGTCGTTCACGAGCGGCAACTATGACGGTTGCAATAGCCTCGCTGGCGCTTCCCTGGATAACACCACCACCCGTGCTCTTCCCAGATTTTGATGACGCAGCACTAAGGAAGCAATCCGGTAGTCCCAATGCCTGTGCCAGCCAGTCCATCATGACAATTTCCAATTCCGTACATGCAGGAGAGCACAGCCAATTGAAAGCTGCCGCGGTGAAGGCGGCCGAGTACATTTCACCAATGATGGAAGGGTAAGTCACACAAGAGGGAAAAAAAGCCATGAACTTTGGCGATTGCCAGTGGGTGAGTCCTGGAATGATTTTGGACTCGATGTCCCCGTGTATCTTGCTCCATGGCTCTGGGTCCTTGGGAACCGATGTGGGAAGAAGAGGACGAAGGTACCCTGGCTCTACATCGGGAACGACTCTCTTGGAGACGATGGTGTTGAAGTATTTGATTACTGCAGTACTCAAGTTAGACACTACATAGTAAAAGATACAAAGAGACGAAATGTGGAGAGGAACGCCAATTGAGGGCATACTATCTTCAACGGCAAGGTGAGCCGCTTCTCTGAATTCTTCTTGGTCCATCCCGAGTGGGTAATTCGGGCATATGCTGTCTGTTCGTTGCAAAGGATAGAAAGGATAGAGGTTAAGGGGAACGTCGCCGATGGAGGTCTTTTGGGTTGGGAGCTTCGACGGAGGATTGAAGGCAGCATCGATATATATAACAAAATCTATCCCCTCGTCCGGACCTTGTTAGCTCAATTTCAATTAGCAGTTGTAAACCTCCACACACGAGAAATATAAAAGGGGTTGAAAGTTATGCTCAGGTTCCTTACCAACCTTTGCCCCTAGGAAACACGGAATCCATGGAAGAAGTTACCAAGGAACCATTGGGTAAATACGGTAAATACCTACCAGGCTATCAATCAGATCTTCTGTTTCGCTGACTTAAAGTTATCAATTTGACCCTTTTTTTAATCTAAAACCCACTCAAAAGACACAAGCAGGGGTTGAACGAAGCCACAACTGATAATCATAGCTTCCAATGAAGCTTGTATATTGAGCTTCCATTCTCAAGTTACCCTTCGAATGTGATATCAAGGGTTCCTATGCTTTTGTTCCGTCTGTATCTATAGCTGATGCAGCTAATATTTCAAGGAGGACAACACTGTTGTGGTTGTTGTGGTTGTTGTGCGTACGACGGACTTCTCTGTGTTAAACTAGCTAAGCTAATAGCTTGACTGTAGCTTGAATATACGGCAGGCAGGTGATTAGGGCGGCCTGTCGCAGTCTGTATCCACAAACACCGCCCCATGCTACGACGGCAGTCTCCTCAAGCTCTGCTGCTGCGCCTCTCTAGCTCAGCTCAGATCATTTATCAAGTCTTGCAACAAAAATTCGTCAAACTACAAATAATCGAACGTCTATGGAAAGCCGTCTGTACGAAAGCATAACTAAAATTCAAAACAAAAAGTATGTTTATTGTTGAACTCTCTGTACACCCTCTCCGCGGCCGCAACATCAGATTAACCTCCACTAATCCAATCTTCTCGACGAAGTCAGTACGTGCAGGCTGTTGCTTAGAGGCTTCATGAATCCAGCTTCCTTGTTCACCGTAGAGCCTATGTGCAGCAGCTCTTTTTCACGCTTCTCAACTAGATCATGAATGCTGTGAGCAAGCACCAACATTAGGTAATCAGAGCCAATTGGCTAGTTAGTTGGTGTGGGTGGTTAGATAGTTTCTAATGAATTACCGGGTAGATAAGGATGTTGGTTAACTGCTAGATCAAGTTAATGTAATTACTTTCCACCCACTCATCTAACCAGGATATCAAAATCAGTTTATCTTCAATGCTTGTACTTTAACACGCCACACAACGTCTCTAATTCTTAAGAAAAATTTGAAAAACTCTACAGAAATAGAAAAAAAATTGAACTTGTCATATCCGTCATCAAAAATCAAGAAATCTCCTCAATTTGTGAAGCTATGAGACTATATGATATAATATACTTTTACTTTTAACTATTAACTTTAATACTAACTTATAAAAATAAATACTTATAGTCATAGTATTATATATTGATTAAGAATAAAGAGGATTTTTTAGTTAAACAAAATATATTCTATTAACTAATAGATATTGAAAATATTATTATTATTATACTTTATAATATTCAACTTTTATCACTTTTTTATTAATAAAAGTTAAATTTAAAAACGTGATTTAAATACTAGAAAAGGCTTTAATATTATTATTTTAAATATTATCAAACTTAAACCTTTTTTACAAAGAAAAAGTAAAATAAATTAATTTATAATATAATAAATATACTATTAAATATAACTTGAATTCTTTGTATATAATAAAAATAAACTAGTAGAGAAAGAAAGAATAAATAAATAAATAATAATAATAATAAACTTTAAATGAGTTGAAGTAACAAAAAATAAATAATATTAACAATAAACTTTAACTAACTTGAAGTAAAAAAAATTAGTCTGATAAGTTAAAATAAGAAATTTGAGAAATTTGATTAAAATAGACTATTTAATTATAAGAAAAGTTAATAGGTTGGATATTAGTTTATTATACTGATATTGAAAATAAGCATATGAACAGAAATATGTTGACAACTAAAGTATTATAATACTTTTAGAGAAAATTATAGCACTTACATCTTTTATTAATATTACTTATAAATGACTTTCAAAGTATATTAAAAACAGTTTTAAATATCAAATATATTATAAAATAAAGTGAAATCTTATTTTTCACTAGTTTCTTATAAGTTTTATTAGTGATTAGATGATTTTATAAAATTGTGCTTTTTTATTTAATACAACTGATGATTGAGCCTTTTTGTCATATAATTTAATAACTTTTTAATTATTAAAAAAGTCTAATTTTAATCACTATTACTGTAAGTATATAAATCTTAAAACTAAATTTTTATATTATTTCAGATTATAATTATTAAGAAAAAAAATTATAATAAATTAAAAAATAAAAATATATTAAAAATATTGTAAATTAAATATTAAATGCAGAATTATTTATATATATAAGAATTAATTTAAATTTATATAGTTTATTTTTTATTTATCAATAATTTATAATTATGTTTAATAATTTTATGATTTATATTTCAAGTATTTTATTTTTTTTATATGTTAATTTTAATTTTATATCTTTTATCTATATATATATATATATATATAACTATAGCTTTAAATTTCTTTTTAAGTAACATTCAATTTTTTAAAATTTAAGTTTATTGAAATAGATTTTAAAGCTTATGTATCCGTATCATCATAAACTTGCATTTGATATTGATCAACAGGTCTGGTATCTCCATCCGAGACAGTTCATCAAGTTCCCACACCTTCAACGCGGCTCTCAATTTATTGATAGTTATTATTCCAGAAGCTGACAACTCATGAGAACGATTGTATGTGACAAGAAATATGAAGACAGCGCTAGACGGCTTGTCGGTACTGATATTTGACCGTCTTGCATACTCTAAAAGGGCCTGTTCAATCTTTTCTGAATGGGTCTGCGATTTTTTAAAAGGCAATTGAAAGTGAATTTCTATTGTCATTAAACTACATTCAACTGGAACCCCAGCAGAATTAACTAGACAGTAATTCACATCGTATTTAAATATATAAGTTGATTCAGATATACAGAATAGAATCCTCTAAGCTACCTCGAATGCTGAATAACTAATTAACTAATTTAACCCCGATCTGGTGGATTACATAAGTTATCCATATGCTTCAACAAATTCATCATCATCTTTTCTTCTTCTTCTTCTTCTTCTTCTTCTTCTTCTTCTTCTTCTTCTTCTTCTTCTTCTTTTCTCTCTCTCTCTTTGTGTTGCTATCTATTGCCGCAAACTCATCTGTACCTTGTTACAATTACAATTCTGCATAGCATCTTCAGGAATATATTAAAAATTAGTTAACAAGATTTTGATCAGTCAGTATTCTGTTTTGAGAAAGGGCACTGTTTCATACTTTCATTAAACTCATCCTAACATTAGTTACTCATCCTAAACCTTCATCATCATGGCCACTGATAAAGATGCTACGGAATCAAAAGATTCAAGTGAAATCCCTTTGACAATTGATAGCGATTCTAAAAAAAAAAGACTTGGATGAGTTAGCAGAGTGGCTTCGGGCGGCAAAAATCGTCAGCCATGGAAGAAACATATGGCGTTGTGTTGATATAGCAAGACTTTCAGAAGATCTTATCAACTCCCCACTAGTTAACATAACCCACCACCGAACGGCGGATACCACCGGGCGGCGAATTCCGAAAATCATCAAATATTCAATGTATTCAACAACTGTCAGACGTTGGATCACCTTCGTGAGAGAATCGGACCTCGGGCGATTAACAGAATAGCCATCAAAAACCACGTCAAAACTCCCACTCCTCCTTTTATTCCTGATTTTTGCGAATTTCGGAACTAGTTGCTCTAAAACATGCCACCAAATTGAGTTTTGTATGTAAACGGCAAGATCTCGATCACGAGATCTTGCCTGTAAATTAGCATTAGAAAGACATACAAGAACATGGGGTGAGAAAAGAGGCAACTTGTAATTATAAATAGCGGCAAAATCAGCAGAGAACTGCAGGACAACAAAACAAGAATAATCATAGATTACTAAGTCAACGAGATTCTACACTCTACCCATCTGATAACAATCAATATGCTTAAATATTGAAAATTTTAATAAATTAAGACTTTTCTATAATTAAATATATAGTTATTTATTAGGACAAACTTTGTATAGTACTTTCAATAGTCTCACAGCCACTGCAGTGTGATAAAGCTCGCTGATAAAATATAGTTTCAATCTGAACTTTAATCTGCATATTCAAGCTGCTTAATACTATATGAGACGACGCCAAGACGGGGAGTCAACAGTGCTGCCGTTGCGTGGATTGTTTGATGGGAAGCCGAGAGGGTAGGCTTAACTAGCGCTAAGGGAGCAGATGAGCTTATGTCTTAAGACTGAAAGGGAATCTGAACAATCAAGAATACTGATGGATAGATAGAGGATTGTATGCGTCTTCAATCAATCTAATATATTAAGAACGAATCGCTGACCCTCTATACAGTGGGTAAGATAGCTAGCTTTATAGAGTGTTCATCAGTCTTCTCTCCTCCATGGATACACTTGGATATCAATCTATCTGATCAAGGAAGGGCAATGACTTTCATAGAGGTGATCATAGAGATGATCAACCTGTCATCCACATGATAGTCACCTCGTCATTCCACACACGGAAAGATAATTATCCCATAAAAAGGTGAGACAGCCACCGCGTCATCAGGGTAGTATGGATATCCATATCGTAGTGGCGGCGCCGTACAGAGGGAGTTTCTAAGACATGGGATATTGATTCCAGGGAGATGTCTTTGACTAGATCTCCTGATCGTGATAAGACGTAGGAGGTATCGGTGCCAAGAAGAGGTCTTTGGCTAGGTCTCGTGATCGTGATAAATGCATTCATAATCATTTTGTATAGAATAGTATTCTGATCTTAGAATGTCTTTATATTGTTTTCTTCATCTTGCGGTTCTTCTTCTTCTCTGCTTATTGAATTTTGATTTTCCGATGAAGAAGAATTGTGTTTATGATTATCTGCATAATCTTTTCAATAAGTTGAAAGTATGTTTAACTATTAATCGTGCCGCTGCGCAATCCACACCTTGTGTGGGTGTGCCACACCAAAATGATAAAAACATCAAAATGATAAAAATCTTGAATCACATTCTCATTATTGCACTCTATATCAACAACCAGTAGCTAATCTATAATAAAAAGATTATCTACATCATTCCTAGTATGTGTGTCATCTTTAAATTGATTTAATTTCTCTTCTATTAGTGATGTGAGTGAGTTATTGTCAATTTTTATAGAATTAACTTCAAGTCTCTATTACTTTTTATTCTGCTCTTTTTCAGCTTTATTATTCTTATGCTCCTTGATTTTTCTATTGACATCTTTAATAATGAGGACTTTTTCTACTTGAATCTGATGATAAATTGTTTTAGCTCTGCAGTATTTACTAATATTGAGAAAGTTTTTTAATTCAATGATCTATTATTTATTAAGTTCTATGTGAATTAAACTTGCTTTGAATATCTTGTTCAAATGACATGTCAAAGTGAGTGATTTCAAGTCAAGAGTATCTCTAATACTTTGCATAATGTTTTTAATAATATTAATATAGTGCTTCAGCTTTTAGATTGTCTTTAATAAAGATAGTTGAGAAAAAGAGATAGATATGTGATCTGAATTATTCTCATTTTTATAAATTTGCAGTGAAGAAAATGATGAGATTTACTGCTTAAAAGTATCAAAAACTCAGTTAGAATTCCATAAATATATGTCATATTGAGCTTATTCTGCAGCTATTGTATTAGATTTAAAGATCTTCTTTTGCATAGTTGAGATATCTTGTAGAAACTGATGTTTTTTATACTTAATAAAATCATAACATGCAGCATAATTAATTACTTTTGAATGATAATGCTTATATTGCTGAAATGATAAACTATTCAAAGATTGTAGTAAATGAGTAGCATGTGATGAAAATTTATATAGAATTATCTTATAAAGATTCATATATTATATGAACTTCTCAGTAATATGAAATTCATAATTATTTATTAAAAACAATTGATAACTTCTCTTCTGTCTCTTTTCTATAGCAATATTGAAATGTTCAAGTTATTTAAATTCAATTTCATCATTTGTAAATATAGTATTTGATATAGCAATTCTATAATTACTGAATAAATCTGTCTATGTATATTAATTCTTCAAATATATTTTAAAGATCAAAATTATTAATAAAAAAATGACATAATTATTTATAAATACATATTCAATGACTATAATTAAATTTCTTGAAAAGAATAAAAAAATGATAAAATTAGCTTTTTTAAAAGCAGTTATAATCTATTCTCTACATTCTTGTTCTTTATAAAATTTAATCTCATTAAAGTTATTTGTGTTACAAACATGAAATTGATACTACTCAAATAGAATTTAGAGATGTTCAAATCATATATTAATATATTCAATATCTTTAACTGCTACTCTTTTTGAATTCATTGACTTCTGTCTCATTCTCTTATACTCAAGTAGATGTTCAATGAATCTATAAGTTCACATCTTGTTAACTTTTGAAATAGAGATAGCAGAATCTATGTGCTAATGTCTGAGTATTAAATTTATAAAATCTTCAATATGTTCAGCTGTGAGAGAACAATTTTTTTCATTAAGTAGTTTAATTTATTATTTAATCATATTCTTCTGACTCTCATTTAATCTTTTATTAACTGAAATCTTTGCAGTATTTAAATTTCTTCTATTAATACATGCTCAGAGACATTGATAAGAATGTTAAATTCTTATGACAAAGACAGTATTTTGAAATTTGAGTTTTTTTAATGATAAATAATAGTTTTTTAAATACAGTCTTCAATATTTTTAACCTTATTTGATATTGTGATGAGTTAATAATTGATAAAAATGATGAAGATGATAAAATTACAAGATTTTTATCATTTTGATGTGGTGCACTCATATGAGGTGTGGGTTGCGCAGCGGAATAATTAGATAATTATCTCTTTTTATTAAAATTTCTCTGCAAGTAATAATTTTACAGTTAATCAAGTTGATTGTTATAGTGCAGCCGCTGGAATATAAATTAAGATTAATCTACTCTGATTCTTAACCATCTATATATATTTGACTGCTCGTTCATTCCCATATTCTAATTCCCAGTTTAGTATTCTCGTCGCAGCTGCCTAGTTAGATAGATGAATTGAAACTTTTATTTTAATCATCACAACTCTAGTTTGAGCCATGATATAATACTAAACTCCTCTTTCTCATAAGCTCTGAAGATTGAATAGGCAGATTTTTATGTTCACATCTATATCTATATCTATGTCTATGTTTAAGTAAGCTTTTCAGTAGTTGTGACTACGTTAAATGCTCAGAACTCTTGTTAATATTTTATCCTTCTTTATTATTTCTATCTTTATTATAGAAGCTTCTCTCACTGCTTTTAGCCAGGAATTTGAAAAGCTATTCAGAAGCTTTATAATTAAAATCAATAGCTTTAGACAAATTGTTAATTTTTACAGATTACTCTGAACAACTTCTGATTCTATTCAAAGCCTTCACTACCAGACCTCAAGTAAATTTCTGACAGTCTTTATTGATAAGTTGAATGAATTCTTTATAAAGCTAGAGCTGAAGATTAGATAGATATCTTATATTTGCAATTGTCTAACTAAGTAGCTAAATCTCTCACAGATCTACAAGTAATTTCTCTATGTTGTCTAGCAGTTAGCTTCTAATTTCTTTTATTTATCTTTATCACATGCTTGCTCTAATGGCCCTGTTTACTCTGATTATTATGATTTTATAAATTTAAATCAGATTCAACTTAATATTCTTAATTTTTCACATGATGATTCTTTATCATACATCTCATGAAATTCATCATCTCAATAGTAGAAATACTGTTGAGATGATCATTATATACATTATGAGTCTCATGGTCATTGAGTTGAAAACTGCCAATTCTATCATCATTCTTCAAAGCTCTATGTCAAATAAAAAGTAACAAAATATATCTTTTTTAAAACTCAGTCAATTTTTTAAATATTGATTTAAAAATACTTTTATTTAGAAGCTCTTATTGAAATTAATCAGTCTTCTTAATTTATATAATTTTTAAATAATGTTTGAAAGAGTAATTGTTAAAAAAATACTTTTCTTTAAAAAGTAAATATTTAATAATAATTTTTATTATCAACCTATAATACTTGATTTAAAAAGTGTGAAAGTTAAATAAACAAAAGATGATTGATTAGTTTAAAATAATTCAGTCAATTTTTAAAAGTTTTTATTATATTATTATTGAGAAAAACTATATCTGATATCTTTAAAAACTCTGTCAATTTTGATTTTCTTTCAGTCATATCAAGTACCTTCATATACTATCCTCAAAGTTTGTCTAAATATAGCAGAAAAGATATCTATAAAAAGTAAAGAGCATATGATCTAAGATTCATGCATTTAATCTCTATAGACTACAGGTTTAAAGTTAGAACTAGCTGAGTATAGGTGAGAATAGAAGCAAGTTAAAACTAAGTATATACTTATAAGATATTTTATAAAATTGAGCTTTAATTAATTCTTTAACAAGTTTAATAGAGCTCAGTTAAAACTTAGTCAAACTCAACTAAAGCTTTAACTGAATCTGATCAAGCTCTAATAGAGAAAGTGTTTTGGTAAAATCTGCAGATTTCTCTTAGAATGTTAGTTTTTTCCTAATATCTCTTTGAAAAATTAGGAAAATCTTGCCTAAATTCAACTTTTCCTTTAATAGAGAAAAATTTAAATATTAAAATTACGCTGTATACTAGTTGTATGAGAAAATTTTCTTTAATATAGATAGAATCAATCAGTTTTTAATAATTTTTTTATAAAAAATTATATTTTTTTTACTAGTTTTTTTATCAAAAACTAATATTTCTTTTCTGAATTAATTAAAATTGAAATCATTAGATTTCTACCTCTTTTGTATTTCAAGAAGTAATTGTAAAGATTTAATTAGTTTATCTTAAAAACTGATCTCAGTTTACTAGATTCTCTTGAAAAATCTAGTCTAGTTATTAAACTAATAGTAAAATTAAAAAGATTTCAATTAAAGCTTGTTAAATCAAATATACAAGAGATATAGATAGAAGTTGAAACATGGAAAAAACACTCTCTACATCTGAAAGAGAGAAAGAGACTTAGAAAGAAACTTATCAAAAACTCTCTAAATAAGAGATTTGAAAAAAAAAAAATAATAAATATAAATTAATAGATCAAATTAAACAGCTTGATCATCTAAAGCTTATATTATCTATCTTGAAAAATCAACTAAATAAAGAGGAAAATCAGAAGATTATTAATTTTTTAATTTTACTATCAAAGTAAATTTATGAGATCATCAAGTTTAAAGTGGATGTGGTCATCTCAATCAGATATGTTATACTTCAGTTTCACACTAGTTAATCTAGACAGGAAATTCTCACTCAGAATCAACTATAAGTGGTACAGAGTGTAGATAAGAAGTCTATGTTTATATAAATAGCTACTACTTCTATTTTTACTTTTATTTATTATTATTATTATTATTATTATTATTATTATTATTATTATTATTATTATTATTATTATTATTATTATTATTCATTTAAGATGTGATCAGTCAGTATCTATAATATCTCTCTAGTTAAACTAGAATTTAACTATTTTACTAATCTAACTAATAAATAGTAATCAATTTATATACTTATAAAGTTTTATTTTAGAATAATATAGTATTTAACAATTTACCTCTGCTTAGTTAATACCTTTAAAAATCTAAAAATCTGAAAAAAAAAGAGCTTAAAATCAAAGAAGAGAAAAGCTTTAAAATAAAAAAGTTAAATCAGTCAAAAA